ACACTCCCAAGCCGATTTGGGGAGAGATCCTCTAAAAAGGCCTCGTTCTTCCCTGATCGCATTAGGGAGGCTTAGCCCCGTGCCGAGAGCGGGCACGGAGCGGGCAGGAACAGTGCTGGGGCCCTGGGAACCTCTCCCAGAACCGCAGCCATGCTCTCGGCCCCGTGGCAAGGCAAGGGGCACAGAGCCCCGCTCCCCCCAGCTGTGCCACTGCCGCCTTTGACCTGACTGTCACGACTTACCGCCCTTTACTTATGTATTTACTTCTATTTCCCCTTCCTTCTAGCCATCACGATGGCCTGGAGTCCGGCAGTGAATACGTGAAGGTAAGACGCCGAGCGCGATCACAGCCTGCCCCAGCCAGGTGCCAGCGGTGGCCCCAGGGCTGGCCGGGTCCTACACTAGCGGGGTGCTCAGCTCTGCACCCCTGTCCCACCACCTCCTCCAGGCTCCCTCTTTGGCCCTGGAAGAAATTCCCTGCCAGAAACGGCGAGCCCAGAGGAGGCACAAACCTTACTCGGTCCCCCTCGATGCCGCTCCCACGGGAGCTGCCCGCGGTTCGTGCTCCCCATCACTTGCAACCGCCGCAGTCGCAGGGGCAGCCTCCTCCCTCCGCCCCCGCGTAAAGAAACGGAAGGGTTTGAGCCACTTTCGTGGCTGTCACATGAAAGTCGGTGTAAATCTCTCCAAATCTCTTGCTTATCCTCCAGCAAGCTATTAACATTCCTGAGGACTCTTCATGTCTGGCCAGAAATTCATTAGCAAGGCGCCTGGCTCCGGAGGAGAGCGGGCCCTTTAACAGGAGGCTGCTGGCACGACGGGAGCCGGGCAGGCGCAGAGGACCGGTGGCAGGGATGCTGTGTGCTTTGGGGATGGAGCACTGAAAACCTGCCTGGGTGGACACCACCATGCGAGGGCCTTTGGGGAGTCTGTCTGAGGAGGGCTGGAGCCTCCAGGGTCTGGTTGCCCGACGGGGATGTAACACCGCTGGGCAGATGTGGTTGTCGAGAAGTGACTTGAGGTGCCCAGCTTGGGTGGGGTAATTAGTACAGAGCCCTGAACCTTCATCTTCTGGACTTGGGGTTCTCAATGGCAGCTGTAGCCAGACACGGAAATGTGGGGACCCCCCGTGGTGGGCCCAGCCGGCAGGCTCAGGAGGGAGCCGGCTGGACCCTGAGCTCATCTGCTCCTGCTGACGGGGGTCACCCCGCTCCGGGCCCAGCCCTGGGGCTAACGAGGACCCTGCGGGCCGGCTCGGGCACCCCG